TAATACCTTATGAGTTTGAATATTTCTTCTGAAAATGATTTTAAGTTATCTAAAGTAAGTTTACAATATTCTAAATCTTTCTCTATATTTTCATTACGAATATAAATTATCTGATTATTAATAATATCAATTTCGTCTTTTAGTGTCAATACCATATTTTCCTCATATGTATTGGTTTTTTCTATATTTTTATCGATTATAGTATTATATTTACAGTTATGAAGTTTATTTATTTCTGTAATACCAGGATATTGATTAAAAAAAAGGTTAAAATTATGTTGTAAAGAAAAATTCCAGATTTCATTAGAAAATTTGTCTTCTGTAATCCAAACACTGTAATTTATATTATACAATAAAGTAAGAAATGTATTTAAAATATCTATACTAAATATGTATGGTTTAATTTTTCTTGTGATTCAATAGGAAATATTTGATAAGAATAGATTCATAAAGGAATTGTTATAGTTAAATAAATTGGATTCTGTTTCATCTGAATTTATTAAAAATTTACCAATTCTTCATACGTTTCTTTGAGTACTCTTTTTTTTATTTGTAGGATATTATTTTTTGCAGTTAGGATATGCTTAACAACATTTAATTCTGTATTTTTACTAATACATTTCATTAAATGTAAATCATGTTCTTCATAATTCAAAGAAGTCATGATTTCTTAAAGAAACTCATGTGTTTTTAATTACTACGAAAATACTTCATTTTTAAATTAATACATTTTTTTTATAACTTTGTATATAAATTTATTTTGACATATTCGTACATAAGTCAAGTATAATTATCAATTAAACATATATTTTTTACAAAAGAAATACATATAAATACCTATTTATTATCATTTACTTTTACGTTAAGAAACAATTAAAACATAATTAATTTATTGTATATCTGAATTTAGTTTTGTATTTTTTTTTATTTTGTAATACTATATGTAAGATTTGATTGGTGATTTCCGTTAAAACGTTTTCAAATAACCTACCATGTACTATCGCAAGCAACTGCGTCTTGTATTATGGCGTGTTGGAAGCTTATGCAGTAAAGTAACCTTTTCGCATGTAAACAAACTTCATCTAAAATTTTATTCATCTTCGAATATAGATTATTAATGGATTAAAAATTACAAAGTATGAAAATAAATGTGATATGAGTTCAAACGGCTTGAAAGTATTAAAAAAAAGGTTAGTATAAAATTTACATGTAATTTTATGGTTTCCTTGTTCATTAAGTATATTAAAAGATTGTTACTTAGTTTTTATAAAAACTTTATAACTGAAAAATAACAAATACGTAACACTGTGTAATTATAATTATATTTTAAAGTATTTATTGTTATAATTTCTTTAGTAATCCATACCCGCAAGGGATGCGATGTCAGAAATGTTTAGAGATGGGACATTGGAGTTATGAATGTAAGGGAAAAAGGAAGTATTTACATAGATCTTCACGTACATCACAATTGAAGAAAGCTCTAAAGAAACAAGAAGAATCTAATGGGTAAACATATAAGATGTGGTGGAATTGTTAAGCATCAAAGTTTAGAGAAATCATAATGATAGCAATCACAAATTTTTACAGTGAAGAACACAAGAAAGAAGTGAAGAAAAGTCGTCAACAGAAAAAAATGAAAAAAGAATCAAGTAGTTCCAGTGATACAAATTCCAGTGCTGATAGCAGCAGTTCTAGTAGTAGTAATGATAGCAGTACTAGTAGCTCATCTTCAGACAGTGAATCAGACTCTAGTGATAGTGTTTCTAGTAGTAGCAGTGGTAGTGGTAGTAGTAGTAGTAGTAGCAGTAGTAGTAGTAATAGTAGTAGTAGCAGTAATCGTTCACATACTTTTCTATTTTCAAAAAGATATCCTATTTAAATAATTTTAGATAAGAGATAAAAACTTAAAGTAGATATATTAATTTTTTAAATATTTATGAAATATTTTACTGGTCCATACACAAGAAATACATGTATAATAATTTCATTGTACAAAATGGAAATAACTAAAGTACTTATATGTAACATACATTTTAAATAATAATTTATACAACGCGCCTTGTACTAAAATTTCGTCATTTATATTATAATGTCATTACCCTCCCAATTATATTATATGCTTGTAAGTAAAAGAAATCATAATTTTGTACTAAGAACTTCTTCATAAACTATAAACTATATTATAAAATTCAAAAGTAAAATAGTAATATTAATTGTTTAGTAAAAAATTAATTTTTTATTGATCTATTAAGTAATTATATAATTGATTGTAAAAATTATGTTTATACAATAAACAATATCACGCTGTAAATTTTATTAAAATAAATTGTATTCGTAATATTTTTAACGTTTCATTAGTCATCAACATCATCAGGAAGTGTTTGTACTATTACTTTCCTCCTTGAATCATAAACAAAGTTATTTGACTTGAAAATGTCACTTTCATAAAATGGATGAAGATTGTATATGTCGATTTGTTTAGCCTAAAATAAAACAAAAATTTTAGTAAAGTAAGGTTGACAAGGTTATAGGGTAATAAAGTAAATAATTCATACCCGATCCAATAGATCTTTCTCCAAAATTTCGATTGTTGCAATGCGACCTCCGCGTATAGCTTTTTGGAACGCTAAAGTATCTAATGTAAGTTGCCTAAGTATGTAATACAGAAGTTCACTGTGATCTTTCTTGTATGATAAGTATTTCTGGAATGTCTTTAAAAAATAATAGAACATTTGTTATAATTTTCATGAACTTGTATATATTTACCTTCATGCTTATTATTCGTTAAGACACTTACCGCACGCATACTTTTCATTACTGAATACTTCTGTGTCTCAACAAAACTATCAAGCATCATTCTGATAGCAAGATTAATATCATTTTCTTGAACGTGATCACGTAGATGCATTTTAGCACTTGCTTCAGCCATACGTATAATGCTTTCTATATGTCGTACTGTAATTGGTAAACTTCCGGTGGCCTACAAATAGTTACAATAAAAATTGTACGATTGTATAATGAAAATTTTCGGAATGTAATCGTTCTGACATACCAAACTTTCTTGCCTTAATTGACTGTATAATTTTGCCACTTTATCTTGATCAATATTTGTTAATTTAGGATGAACATTTTGCCGTGCATAAACTATATACTTTTTTAAAAGATCTTGTGGGATAGATATATCATTTGCATCCTCTACTGTAGGTATCACTTTCCCAGCATTTGATGGATGATGTCTCATATGAGAATTCACAACAAATTTCGCCAAATGCCGATCTTGCATAGGATCTATTTCATCTTTCACTACACAGAGAATATCGAAACGAGACAAAATTGGTTCTGATAAATCTACCTAAATATAAAATTTTTTTATATACATTGAATTTTACATAACACACAAATGTCATGCTAGCATCATATCTTCCTCCAATAGGATTAGATGCGGCTATTACTGAACATCTAGCATGAAGTGATGTAACAATTCCTACTTTTGAAATAGAAATACTTTGTTGTTCCATGGCTTCGTGAATAGATGTTCTATCTTGATCATTCATCTGAAAATACACAGATGTTCATATTTTATTATAAATATTTAACGAAAAATATATTTACCTTATCAAACTCGTCAATAAGGCAAATTCCGTGGTCGGCAAGTACTAAGGCACCAGCTTCTAAAGTCCATTCACGAGTTGTTTGTGATCTCCTTACAAAAGCAGTTAACCCAACAGCCGAAGCCCCTTGGCCTGTAGTGAATACTGCTCTAGGTGCAATTTTTTCGACATATTTTAGGAACTGAGATTTTGCCGTCCCTGGGTCTCCACATAGTAACACATTAATATCTCCTCTTACTTTATGCTTGTTACCTACGCATTTAATTAGAAGATTTCTGCTGAATTGCGTTCCGGAAAAGCGAAAAAAATGATACGAAAAATATAAATACCAGGATTCTTTGATTCTCCGCCAAATATAGCCAATGCTAAACCTTTTTTGGTATATTCATGTGCATAGATCGAAGGTGCAATACTTGCGACAATGCGATCAATAATTCGATGATCTCTACTTAAAGTAATGATACTAGAAATATCTTCTTCAGTCAATGATTCAACAATTTCTTTTGAGTCTTTCACTTGTAGATGATTAGCAAGAAGAACTGTTGCAAACACTGGAAAACCCTAAATACAAAATAGATATTAATTAATTAACGTAACATCTTAAAAATAATTATATATTAAAATATTTTTTACATGTTCCGTATTCAAGGAGCCATCGTAGTTATTCGTATAAATGGCGGTAACATCTACTTCATCTCCAGGTTTACAACGATCACAGAGATCTGATAAAAGAATACATTCTTTACTTCTCGGTATTCTTCCTGCAGGAATTTTACCTGGTGATTCTTGGATTGTAATTTTTTGATAGTTTCTATATATTGTTTGTTCCATGTTAATCTGCAGTTAGTATTAATAAACTTATAAGACATTTTGTGCATAAATAAAATCATTTAAATCTTGAAACTTACCATAAATGGTCCAATACTTTGACATTCGGGACATGACCCAGGCCTAACTTCTGTATTTTGATTTTGTACAAAAGGACCAAGTACATATCCACATTTTGTACAATCATATTTTACAATAGACAATTGTGGTAACACTCCTGTAGTTGCAGTAACAACTCCTAGAGTACGTACTAATTGATTCAAATGCAATTTCCTAATATTTACAATAAATTATATTATTTTTTCATGAAAAATTGAAAATTTTAATCAATATCAGACTATGTTTTACCTAAATGTACGAATTTCTTCTATTAAAGGTAATTCTGATATTCTCACATGAATTTCACTTGAAACCCTTTCATAACTCGGAAATATAGTTAGTACTAGTTCCTTTGCTACTTCATCAAATATATTTAATATTTGAAATGGTGCTTCTGGCAGAAAATAAGCCAAAACATGTTCTTTACTTGCAAGAATGGGAAATTCCACAACAAAGCTAGACTATTAAAAATGATATAAATATTTTCTGTATCTTCATATGACTGTAATTATAAATAATAATAAAAAGTATTACTTGATTACTCTCGCACATATGACGAATTCGTTCTTTGTACATATATTGTCCTTTTGAATTAGTATGTGTACGAAGAAAGCTTTTAAAACGATTAGAAATTTCGGTTCTAGGCCCCAGCATAGACACCCACTCTTTAACTGAATGACCTTTAGTATCTTCTAAATTCTCAATAGATTCAATCATCTAAAATAAAAATAAATACTATTACATAGTACAATAAAATAAATTGCAGAAGGCAAAAGCAGGTAAAGATTTTACTTCTGTGTCTTCAATTTCACCTGTTGCTGCTTTTTCAGCCATACGGCGCTTACGGGCATGTATTTCATCTTCATCACTTTCATCTTAAATGTAAAGACACATGTTACAATATACTTTTGGAAAAAATATTAATTACATTGTTAAAAAACAAGAATGTACCATAAAGTAAATATCTATCATCTCTGATAATGCCTGCTGCCCGATCTCTTTTATGCATAGCAGCTTCAGCTTCTGCACGTTCTCCTTGAGACATTTCTGAGTATTCTTCCAAATCCACTACATCTGAATCATATCTATCTAATGCTGGCATGGGACGATAATCACTGTAATATTACTCAAATATTAATATCAAATATATATTTAATTCTTTTATAGTAATACCAATAAAAACCTTACGCTTCCATATTATCCCCAAATAATTCCTCTCCTTCTCCTTCCTCTTCATTAACATCATTATCATTACCAAGTAAATCAGTTTCATCTTCAAATGGTTCATCTATTTCTGGTGCAGGAGATGTCATTGCCTCTGCATGTCTATCAGAGCGTGCTGGACTACTAGAATCCTAAGGAATAATAAATTAAAGAATAAATAAATTAAAAGGACCAGGACAATAACATAAAAAATAATAATAGCATATTATATATTTTACAGAGCATTATGATATATATACACATAACATTTATGTAAATTGAATAATTGTATATAATTTTACACTTCTCTATTTTTACGATCTTACCATTCTGTTTGTATAAATAAATTTTAATATAACAATAACAAAACAAATTATACAATAAATAAAAATATATATGCAGAGTAATAATACTTTGTTTTCACTTTCTTAAAACTTTGTTAGGACTAAAACCAAAAAATAAGAGTTGGCGGGAATTTCTTTCAGAACGCGGCAATTCTTCAGTCACACCAACAATTCTCGATAAATAACTATAACTAACCAATCCTGTAAATTCTTTACAGGAGATGAATGAAACTTTTGAATTCTATTGGATAACTTAATCAGTCATATATATTTTATTTATTTATTTAACATCAAATTTGATTAATATAGAGACATATTCACAATTAAAAATTTAAGAACTTATTTCAGAAAAATATAATTGAAAATGGTATAGGAAAGTAAAATGGAACCAATCAATTAAATTTATACAATTTTTATTTTTGAATGACATCAACTGGACAGGAAGTATGTTTTAAAAAATACAAAGATTGTAATTTATCTAATACAGAAGTAACTTCTGCTTGTATATTTGCTGCTCTTACAGCAAGGCAAAGGGATTCTTGAAAACGTTTTTGTGCAATTCTTAAACTCTGTGGAACCAATACTCCAAACCACTTGATAGGATCTTGTATCTCATCTTCACCTTTACCCAAAGTTTTTAAGCTTATGTCAAAATTTGGAATTATTATGCCAGTTTCTTCTGTTAATTTTGTTTCTAATTCAAATAGAGAAACAACTTTCTCGTCATCAACAGGAACCTGTAAGACACTTATGCTTTCTTTGCCACGTATGTATTTTGCCTTAGCTAATTCAATGTAACCATCACGTAGTATGTTTTCCATTTGTACATTAACATTAACTTTTTCTTGCATCAGTTCCAAATTACGCAATAAATTGTCATCAATTGCCCTACATATATCATCTATACCTTCATGCATATTGTGTATTGTTATGACAACTGTCAATCTATTATAAAGTGTAATATTGTAGAGGGCTATCTGAATGCTATCTGAAATGCACACATATACAATATGAAATATATAACACGTACTATTTTATGTATGTTTCGTTATCATTTTGATAACTAATATTTGTATTTAATTCTTATCTATGAAATTTATACATTTTTATATACACATCAAACATTAAAATTAATTTGTGCTTACTGATAATTGTTATATAATTATGATTCTTATATTGTCTTCGTAGACAATTATTTTTATTTCCATAAAATAACGATGTTGTAACGATATTTGCCGAAATCCTAGAACTAACCCTAATGTACGACAGTGGTTTTATGTAAAATGGCGTACGAAACACAAGCGACATTCATGGAAACCATTCTGATAGCAGTTCGTATCAAAGCGGCTATCGGTAAATAATTCTGTATAATTTGTTTAAAATTTTGCTATAATTTGTTTCTAAGTCTGTAATTACAAGTATTGAAAGTAATTACAAAATAAAATATAATGGTAAAGAAATTCCACTTTGATAATAGACTATTCCTACAATCTTGTTATGCCTCACGTTCTGAAATACCGATCGTGTAAAATATCAGAGATTTTATTATGCCCGCTACAATAACAGAATGGTGAATTTAGGAATTGTGTACAATTCAACAGTCAAAGATGGTAAAATCGATAGATGTAAAAGATTCTGCTTCGTTAAATCTGCATATAAAGATATTTATATTATAAGACTGAGTAGTTTGCAAAAGAAAATGGGAGTGATGTATGAGAGAGAAATGAATACACTGTAAAATGTTGTACAACAACACTCGTATACATATTGTCACCTTTTATAAAATACATTTTCTGCAATTATCTTATAATAAGTCACTGATTTTTTGATAAATAATTGCATTTCTTCATTTTTCCTGATATTGGAGTCCTTTCCCTGATTCCCAAACCCACCATTTCTAAATTACACAAAAAGACCATTAATTTTCAAATGTTAAATAAAAGTTATAAACAATTTCTAACTAATCTACTGCACGCACTTATTAATTAAATGCAAAATTAATAAAATATGCTGTTTTACTAAATCTGGAATATCTGGATCAAGGATATCGATAGAAAGAAACACGGATAGCTTTAAAGATACGAGTTAGACAAGGAAACGAATTGCGGTAGACAAGGATAGCATTAAACAAAGAGTAAGACAAGGAAAGGAATAGTGCTAGACAAGGATAGAGAATTTTGCAAAACAGAACTAACGCCATCTCGCGTTTGGTGATCGGAACTACGATTTTTTAATAGGAACACATGATATAAACAGAGGTATTAGACAAGGAAAGCACTAGTGAGCGAGAAGGATAGAGCGAGAACGTTTCCTATTGGCTGACGGGCCCCTAAGGTCCGCCAATCAGGTCCTAAGTAAAGTCGGCCAGGGAAAACTCATTAATAACTCATTAATTAGAATGATTTTGTGAACTTTTAGGATTGAAGAATGTAGTGTGGACCTTTAGCTACTTTCACATATAGTTTTAATGCAATAGACCGTTCCAATAATTAGTTATTAACAATTTTATTACGCGATGTCGGAACCTTACCGTTTACGTTTATATACGTTTACGGTTTTTCAATAATTTCATAGCTTTCTGATGAATTCCCATGCAAGTAATTATATGCATCTGAAAAGCAACTCCCTTAGCTGCATTCTCATATAATTTTTATTAACATATTCGGTGTAGTTTAAGAGTTATTAAACATTATATGGGAGCGTCTCCTATTCGTCGTACCCGAGGATATACAACTATTATAAACAATTGCTAATAACTAAAAAACCGCACCACTTACGCAATTGAAAACAATTGCAGAATATATAAAAAGGTCCATACTATATTCTGCATGCTTGAAAGTGCATAATTAATCACGCATATTCGTGAAAATGATGAAAAACTCACACTCTTGAATGTGACGAGTGTAGCACTCACCCAAATAATCTTTAATAACTCTTAAACTAATTCGAATATGTTAATAAAAATTATATGAGAATGTAGCTAAGGGTGTTGCTTTTCAGATGCATATAATTACTTGCATGGGAATTCATTAGAAAGCTATGAAATTATTGAAAATCCGTAAACCTATATAAACGTAAACGGTATCGTTTCCGACATCTTGTACTAAAATTGTTAATAACTATTTATTGAAACAGTCTATTGCATTAAAAACTATATGTGAAAGTAGCTAAAGGTCCATACTACATTCTTCAATGCTAAAAGTTCATAGAATCATCCTAATTAACGAGTTATTAGTGAAAAACCGTAAACGTATATAAACGTAAACGGTATGGTTCCGACATCGAGTACTAAAATTGTTAATAACTAATTATTGAAACGGTCTATTGAATTAAAAATTATATGTGAAAGTAGCTAAAGGTCCATACTACATTCTTCAATCAGAAAAGTTCACGAAATCGTCGTAATTACTGAGTTATTAATGAAAAACCCTAAACGTATATAAACGTAAACGATATGGTTCCGACATCGCGTACTAAAATTGTTAATAACTAATTATTGAAATGGTCTATTGCATTAAGAATTATATGTGAAAGTAGCTAAGGGTCCACACTACATTCTTCAATTCTAAAAGTTCACAAAATCATCGTAATTACTGAGTTATTAATGAAAAACTGTAAACGTATATAAACGTAAACGGTATCATTCCCGACATCCCGTACTAAGATTGTTAATAACTAATGATGGGATGGGTCTATTGCATTAAGTATTATATGTGAAAGTAGCTAAGGGTTCAGGCTACGTTCTTCAATCGTAAAAGTTCACAGAATCTTTCTAATTAATGAGTTATTAATGATTTTTCCCTGGCCGACTTTACTTAGGATCTGATTGGCCGATCTTAGGGGCCCGCCAGCCAATAGGAAACGTTTTCTCTCTGTCCTTCTCGCACACTAGTGCTTTCCTTGTCTAATACCTCTGTTTATATCATGTGTTTCTATTAAAAAGTCGTAGTTCCGATCACCAAACGCGAGATGGCGTTAGTTTCACCTTTCAAATTTTCTGTTCTTGTTTAATCATATATCATTCCTTGTCTTACTCATGTAACATCAAGAGAATCATTAGAAATTAAGTTATGTATACATTTAAAAGTACAGAATTCTTTACTCCGTGACGGAATATATGATATGCTGTCCTATACCTTATTCTTAATTTCATAGTTATGTTTAGATCTAATTCCAACTAGTACTATGTAATGTTGTAATCTCATTTTATGCCGAATCGGTAACGTTGGAAGCGATACCAAGATAGTAAGGGGGTTCTAAAGCCCCCACGACGTAGAACAAAATGATGCATTGAGTGGTAGGCCTATTGTGCTCCTCGTTTGTAGTTTCATCAATGGTGAATTAAAAGTAATGGTAAAATTGAAAAAATATTAAAATAGCATTTTATTCTGTTGCACAATTTTATTTGTTGCAATTTCATCGTGAAAAACATTACATATGTATACTTATAGCTGAACAATATGTTTTTACAAGTACTTGGTGCGTACACACATTACAAAGGCGATGCGTGGTAAGCGCTTCATTGGACCCTTATTAACAAATATAATTAGCGATAATCTAGACAAACAGTGCATAAATTATGCTCAGGGACATAAAGGAAAACAATACTGATAGGTTTTTCAGTAAAAATAGTTATCACTTTAACGTTACTAATCGTTTAAGTCCAAGTTGGTAAGTGATAATAGTTCGAAGTTACTAAAACATTACTAAGCTATGTAACAACTCAAGTTATCGCAATCCCATTCGTATTATTCATATCTTCCTGCAACTGCGTGCGATCTCGTATTCTTGCACACATTAAACTATATTCCAACACGCCAATACGAATGTTCATTTCAGAAATTTCGCTTTTCATTTTCGTAATCGTCTTTTTTATATTTATAAGCGGAGCTATAGAAAGTATTAACGATTAACAATTTATGTAGCATTGTAGAATTATTCGTATGATACTTACTTCCATCTGTCATACTTGATCCTCGTTCGTCCATTTCCTTTTTAACATGTTCCAACTCCTCTGATAATTTATTAAAAACTCTTGTCCTTTCTGTAACACCTCCACTAACATCCCGATATTGTTCCTTAATTTTTGATAACTCATCCTGAAGAATTTGATATTCCTTCAAAATAGGTTCAAGTTGTCTATTTAAATAGGACTCCCTTGTTTTTACTTTATCTAAAGTATTTGTTATGTCAATATGTAGCTTATCTAATTGACTTTTGGTTCCAGTCAAATTCATTGCAATATTTGCACGAAGTTGCTTCATTTGCTCTATGTGTGACCTCCAATCTCTTGAATCTGAAATAAATTTTTTCTTACAATTTTACTCCTCAAATTTTTATCAGATATTCTGTACCTGTTTTAACAGTTACTTTTAGTTGAGGTAAAACTCTTTCCAATTCTAATTGCCACTCTTCTCTGTTTGTTTTAGATTCTAGGATATCATCAGGTTTTTGTGTTTCATTCTAGAAAACATGATATTAGGGAATATATGATTTTTACATTTTGTAAGCATACCAATGACTGTACTTACAAAATTTTGTCCATAAAGTTTTGTAATATCATCAACATGTAAAATATCCTCATCATCATCATCATACTCAGCCATCATTTCTTCTTCCACTTTTTCTAATATTAATTCTGCATCATCATCTTCTATATCAGGTTCATCATTTGGTTCATCAGGTGGTATTTCTACCCTAGAAACATTTAGGTAAATAATTTTCAAATTATGATTCTAATATCTTTCAAAAGTGTATTTTAAAAGTTTACTTTTTCCATTGGAATTTCTCTGCCTTTAATGCTTCATTTGCTAAATTGTCTAGAACATAAATGGCATGATCACCACTTCCTTGCTTAAGCTTATTAGGTGGAAATTCTATTGGTACATTGGTATCTCTTAAATGGTCTAATATTAAACCTATTGTTGCATTAGGATCATCAGATTCTTGTGGGGGTTCAAAGTTTCCACCTGCTTTTCTGATTAACCATGCAGCTAAAGATGTAAATGTATAAAACTGTTCTCCTGGATTTGTTTGTGTTATAAAATAATTCCTATGTTTTAAATCAACATGGTATTATCATGAATTCACACAATTAAAAATTAGATGATTTATATGTAATTATGAATAACTACCTATTTATAGCTTTTATTTTAAATTCCGGTAAAAATTGATTATCATAGTTCAATAGTTTCAATTTTTCTAATAAGTCTTCCATTCTAATGTACATAACATAAGGAGCAGATGGAGAAGTGCCATCTTCTATAACAATTTTCGGAGTGTCTCGGAACATTTCTGAAATTATAATTTTGTCATAACCACATGGGCTTGTACAGATAACAAATGTACGTATGTAGGTGCAAATTGTACATAGTATACTTTCCATTCATAAAAGTGGACATGTTTACCTTTTATTTTATATTGCTTTAAAAAGGTTCATATATATGTATATGTATATGTATATATGTACAATTAATTTTTTTTAGATATAAGATATCCACTTTGATTTTTTAAGTAAATACTTTGTACGTATTCATTGCGACATATTGTTTATGTTTCATAATTTGACAGTATTGACCGTTTCGATCGTATAAAGTATGCACAGTCAGTATGGAGAATTCTGTTTCATTCGCACGAATAACTAGGGATATTCTCTTGAAAAGGCTGCTATTTCACTATTCTGTAACTTGGAAAATAATTTCAATAGTTGGTAGAACCGTGAGTTGTTCATTTTGTTGATTTTGACAATCGGTCATATTCAGTTTTCTCTTAGGTTTATTGAAATTTCTACGTGAAAAGCATTTCAAGTGAATTAATATTGAAAAAAGACACACATGAACTGTCAGATTTGATCCTAATGCTATCTAATATCTATTTATACTAATAGATTATTAGAATGGGTCTAATTTCCGAGCCGCTATTGTTCGTACTAGCTTTAATCGATACCGGTTCAGTACTATTTCTTTTGGTGTATTTTGTATCCTTTTTATACTATATAACTAAACAGGAATTGATTGAATTAATTTTTTGTTATATACGTAATTTCATTACTAAATCATCAAATTCTGCATGCGTTTTATTAAAGAACGTATCTAGGGATTTTTATTAAATGTTCGCATGGTGTTGCAGTAACTGTATTGGCGCTAAGTATGATTTTACAGAATTACAGTCCTTATCTTAAAAGTATACGTAGGTTATAACTCTATCGGATTTAGAATGTGACTACCTAAATGCTCAACAGTGTTGTTCAAAGTTGAACACGGTAATTGCATTATTCTTTTTATTATTTTAATTAGGTAATAATAAAATAATAAGATGAATACTAACTAGTAATATTTTATAGTGGGTGGTACCAAAGCTTATATCACATACATTCTTAGAGTTTTTATTACTAACACATGGACAGTTGATATTATGCTTGGTAAACTTACCAATGACACTATGGTTGCTTTATGAATATTTTGGAGTACCCAGTGGTAATATGGGTGTTTATGATCCTACAGAGATCCACAATCGTGGACAATTAAAAAGGCATACAAGGGATTGTATGATCTATCTTGGATATTATCTTATTTTCTTTTTTATTTACCTTTATTGGTATGTATATTTTAAATAATCCACTAGTTACTGTTAAAATTAAATGAGTAATTATTGCTATTTTTAACTTTCGTTTTTCAGCATGATCATTGCATTACTGAAAGGGGATCCAATCAACAGAAATGAAGATGAAATGATGCATACAGAATAATAGTGATAATATTTAAACTTTTATACACCCTTGCCTTTTAATTCAGTTATATATAATCATTTATTTATTTTAATGTTATAAATGCCAAATGGAATTTTGTTAAGATATATAAAAAGCAACTCACACTTTTCTGTTGCAATTTAACTTGTATCATATCTTTAAGGATTCAGATCCCTTGAATATAAGACTTCCATGAGATTGTAGAAACTTCTGTGTCAATCCTCTTGTAATTATACCTATATATACATATTATATACCGTAAGTGTGAAAAAAATTTTTCCATTCTACAGTTAACAATCTATAGAGAAAAAGATAACTGTAGTAGATAAAAAAATATTAACAGAATCGTTTAATACCGTACGTAGACGAGATTAAATCCTTCACAACTTATACTTTAATTAATCTTTTTAAATCATTGCGACGTGATTAAAAATATGTATAGTAAAGCGTTCTCGATGACTCATTTATCCATCGGCTCGTTAAATCAAATTGAATCGGGTTTGTTGGTCGCGATATAAGATTGGATCGATTTAATGAACTCCTTGCAGCTGATTAGATTTCTTTCTGTGTGAGGGCATACATTTATTTTTAGGTAAGAACAGAATTAGTATCAAAATTTGCTGAAATCGTCGAGTTACGTTCAGGAATAGTCGTTTAAACGTACATGCATTACGTTCAAGTGTGAAAAAAGGTCACAGTTTCAATATATAAAATAATCAATTAAAAGGAAAAGAAAAAACACGTGTGGAAAATTACACGGATGGAAATAGCGTTAAAAGAACCGTAAGTAGTGGATTTATTGAATATCACGGTTCGCGTTAAAATCAATTTGAGCGCGATAGGCGCACGTGTAGTGCGTTCTTGTATAATCTGCTGGTTGTAAAAGAGGTTTGAGCGCCTCCTGGCGACGAGGGTAACGGGCGACGGATGACGGGTGACGGGTGGCGGTGCTCGGATCAGCTCGGATCGTCTTCGGTACGGCGTGCGTAAGGATGCTTTTCTGGACGAAGTGAGTGCGCGAGTGCTCAGATGTACGAAAACTTTCGCGGTACATATTAATTGCAAATTTCTTTCGCCGCAAGACATACTTACTAAACGGTACTTGGCCTTTTCCCTTTTTCTTCGGGACACTGGCAGTGGTTCAGCGAAGCCCGTAATTTGTTTTTTCTACCGAAACGATTAATTAACCGGGATTGACGTCGATGTTCACCGAAAATTCAACAAATCTGTTAATGGTATACGCAAGACGGTACCCGCCAGAATTTCGCGACGACGGCGACGACGACGGCGGCGGCGTCGAGACACGATCGCATCTTCTATCACGGATGATCAAACAAGGGCACCTGTCAAGGTAAGGTGGTTCACGAGGTGCGCCTAATGCTTGAGAGATTCTCGATGAGGCTTACGTCGACGCCGTCGTCGCCGCCGTCGTCGTCGTCGTCACTGTTGTTTTTACCGTCGCCGATATCGTTACCACTGCACCTACCATCTTCACCGCCTCTGTTATCGTCGTGGTCGTCGTCATCGTTGCTGGTGCCAACGCCGTTGTCGTCGACGCCGTCACTGCTGTCATCGTTCCGTTCTCCATTGTCACCGTCAACGACATCGTTTTCGTTACAGCCCCCGTCAACATCGTCATCGTTATTGTGGTTATCAACGTCTTCGTGTTTGTTACTGTTGCCAGTGGCATAATCAGCCTGCATCACTTGTTCTTTTACTAGTGCACGTGTGTTCTACTTGAAACTACTTCAAATATCCTTCAGGCAGGATGGCAGGCAACAAGACAACAGGTAGTGTCTTGCAGTTTAGGCCTGTTGAGGTGTCTCAACAATTGCAGGATGGAGAAAAATTCATCAAATGGGACGAGGTAGGAGTTAAATGTTTGTAGAAGATTATTAGAGGGTTTAATTGAAGTTTCAAGTAACATGCTATGTTATTGTAAGTATAGTGATTAGTTTTGTTTATATTTCTATATAGGACTCTTGTATAGTAACTCCAGTAACGCTAAGGGTAGACAAATATGGATTTTATCTGCATTGGGTGGATCAACATAATGAGATGGAAATGTTGGATATTGCTATAATAAGAGATACTAGAACTGGAAAATATGCTAAAGTACCAAAGGTATTGAATTGAGCTCTATTTTATTTTCAACAGTATCATTAATGCTTTCTCATTTTTTTCATTCATCAGTTTAGATAGGTCAATTCATGATTGGTCACATGAAAGCTAAGGATGAAATTAGTTAGAAGTTTTGTTTGTTCTGTACATCGGTGCGCATTAGATACAAATATTTAGAAATGAAGCTTTCTTGCCTTTCTATAATTATATCATGCTTTTGCGTGGATGCTAATGACGCACAGCACCACAGTATGATAATTATTGACAAATCTATAAATAGAATATTACCTACTTTATGTCCTCAATATAGTACATTTTTTTTCAGTCACACCTATCTTTGTACACAATGGAAATGTTCTTAGTTGTATAGACAGGAGATCAATTCTTATCTGTTCCATTTTCCTATAAATCAATAAACTGTTTATAAAACAGCATTGTTTGCAGTTTCACATTGTATTAGCAGCTTATTGTAATAGAAGCTATTGTTGTCACTGTAATGTATATAAGTTAATTCTATATGAATAAATCTTGTTAAGGTGATAGAATTGAAACCACCACATGCTGTTCATTTGAAATGTACTTATTTGAATAAGAAAATGCTTTTCAGGATCCTAAATTGAAGTATCTTGTGACAATGGGCTCTCAAGATTCCTTAGAGGAAAAGACAGTAACAATTTGTTATGGATCTGATTTTGTCAATATGAATTTTATTAACTTTTATGCAACGCGCGCGGAAGTTGCACAACATTGGACAGAGCAAATTTTTCAGCTTGCATATAATTTAACTCTGCTCAATACCAGCACAACTATGTTCTTGCAGAAAGCACATAGTAAACTTACCCTTACCACTGATAAATCAGGAAAAATTCCTGTGAAAAAGTGAGCATAAATCGTATATATGTGTGTATTATACTAACTACGCGCGTATGGGTAAATGTGTATATTGTATATATTGTCATTCCAGCATAGTACGAATGTTTGCACAAAATAAAGACGATCGTAAACGTGTCGAGAAAGCACTTGATCTTTCTGGTTTTCCATCTGGAAAAGTGAGTGTAATATCTTCTGCATTTAACACAACGCTAAAATGACAAAACGTTAAAAATGACAAAATTTTTGTTTTTAGAACGACGTAATATCGTTGCAAAAATTCCAATTTGAGGATTTCTTCAAATTTTATAAGTCCCTTACTGAGCGGTCGGATGTTGAAAAAGTTTTCGAAAGTATCGTAGGCAATAAGCGTAGACTAATGTCAGTCGCCCAATTTGTCGAGTTTCTGAACAAAACTCAAAGGGATCCGCGTTTAAACGAGATATTGTATCCTTATGCAAATGAGGCAACAGCAAAGCACATTATAAGTCAATACGAACCGTATAAATGTAATGCCAATCGAGGTCAGCTGAGCTTTGATGGATTTTTGAGGTACTTGATGAGCGAGGATAATCCAATCGTTGCTGTATCAAAGCTTGAACTATCGGACGATATGGACCAACCGCTTGCGCATTACTTTATAAATTCTAGTCACAATACATACTTAACAGGTATATAACTTTTTTGAATTTTTCATCTCATCAAGTACGTGAATTTATAGTTTGTTAATGCATTTGTAGGACATCAACTTACCGGGAAAAGTTCGGTAGAAATATATCGGCAGTGTCTACTAGCGGGTTGTCGATGTGTCGAATTGGACTTTTGGAACGGAAAATTTGATGAACCTGTCATTGTCCATGGGTATACTTTTATTTACAAAAAAGATAAAAAAAAAAAATGATTCAATGTAACATATCGTATTATTATGCGAAGAACTTTTTTTTAGATATACATTTGTACCTGAAATTTATGCACGAAATGTAATTGAAGCAATTGCTGAAAGTGCTTTCAAAACATCAGAATATCCTGTTATTCTTAGCTTTGAGAATCATTGTAATCCACGACAGCAAGCTAAGATAGCTCAGTACTGTAGAGAACTGTTTGGAGAAATGTTACTTGATTCACCTCTTGAATCTCATAAGGTATTTTTTTCACGGTATAATTAAAATATTTCTTTTTCTTTTATCTCGGGAATTTCTCTTTGAACGTTACACTTTAAACGTTTATTTTCAGCTGGAACCTGGTCAGGAGTTACCGCCCCCATCTTTATTAAAACGTAAGATCATAATTAAAAACAAGAAGAAACATCATCACCATCATAAAAAGCATAAAAAAAAGCAACAGACGGCAGCGATAGAGTCTGAAGAAGGAGTTCAAGAAGGCGAGGACAACGGAATAACGAATCAAGCAGCTGACGGAGAGAACGGGCCGCCGTCCGATGTTGTTCCACTAGCTGATGGAACTGATAACGATCAGCAGATTGGAAACGGTGACATTTCGCATCCTCCGATGTTGCAGCAGAGACAAGGCAGTAAGGACAGTGCTCAAGACGACGATGGTCAGTATTTGAAGACAAACATGTGGTTGTACAATCGCGACTTACGATAAGATAAAACATAGGGAAGAATTTGCTTCTTTTTCAGACGAAGAAGAAGAATCGAGTACAGAGGAAGATGAATCAAACGTGGAGGATATTAAGTTAAGGATGGATGACAAAGTGCCTGCACCTGACAAAGTAGCATCTAGCGCGAAAGAAACGGAAGCTGGAGCAGAAATTTCAGCCTTAGTTAATTATGTGCAACCTGTTCATTTCAACAGTTTCGAATCGGCTGAAAGTACGTTCACACATGTTGTGACATCAACTGTTCCATTTATTTTCTTATGTTTATATTATAATTCAGAACTTGATCGATCTTTGTAGAAAAAAATCGCATGTACGAGATGTCCTCGTTCGATGAAAAACAGGCTACGACGCTTTTGAAAGAAAGACCATTAGAATTTGTAAATTACAATAAGCACCAACTATCGAGAGTATATCCGGCAGGCACACGTTTCGACTCAAGCAATTTTATGCCTCAGGTGTTTTGGAACGCGGGTTGTCAACTGGTTGCGTTAAATTATCAAACACTCGGTATGTTACTATTTCAAATATGCATGATATCGATCGATGATCGGTGACTCATTTAAGTTCCCTCTGATAGATCTTGCAATGCAATTAAACTTGGGTATTTTTGAATACAATCAGCGTTGTGGTTATCTGTTGAAACCGGAGTTTATGAGACGTAAGGATCGACGATTAGATCCTTTCGCGGAATCTACTGTAGACGGTATTATAGCTGGAACGGTTCACATACACGTAATATCGGCTCAGTTTTTAACAGACAAAAGAGTGGGTACTTACGTCGAGGTGGATATGTATGGTTTACCAGCGGATACAGTGAGAAAGAAATTTCGCACGAAAATTGTTCCGAACAATGGAATCAATCCTGTATACGACGAGGAGCCTTTTATATTCAAAAAGGTAAGAATTCACGGGTTTGTACAGCTTGCTGTATACGCAACAAAATCTGATCTGTGCGTTCATTAGGTTGTTCTACCCGAACTTGCTTCGATTAGAATTGCTGCGTACGAAGAGTCAGGTCGTTTAATTGGTCACAGAGTCCTACCAGTGGTTGGATTATGCCCAGGCTTTCGACACGTTGCTCTCAGAACGGAGTGCGGCCAACCACTACCATTGGCAAGCTTATTTTTACACGTTATCGTAAAAGATTATGTTCCGGATGGTCTGAGCGAGCTTGCGGAAGCTTTAGCAAATCCAATTAAATATCAGAGCGAAGTAGAGAAGAGAGAGAAGCAATTATCGGTTCTTACGGACAACTTGGAAGATTCATCGGAAGAAACTGATGTAAGGTTTGAAAAATTGAACGTTAATTTTTTACTAACTCGATAACATACTAACAAATGCATACTAACATTTTCTAGGATAAGCCGGAAGTTGGCGAAGGAGCAAGTTCTTCTTCTAAGCCAACTGTAAGTTCCTCGGTCAAAAAAATTTCGACCGATGCAAATAAATGCATATATTTAAGCTTGTTTAAACGTTTTGTCTTAGGAGGAAACCGTTAAAACAAAAAGACTACAATCTGTAGGTGAATTACCAACACTTGCACCGACAACCACAACTGTTCATGGTAGACCATCCATTGCCGGTATAAACATCTCTGACACTCAGGAGAGCGAGGATGGACCGCCAGCTCCTCCGGTTCAAGTCATCGATGCTTCCACAAATAAAAGTCCAGTTAACGTCAGCGGCAGTAAGTATCGATTACCTGTTACGTTTTTTATTTGGATATCGTCATTTGTTCTTCTACGTTCTAGTGAGCGATGAGATAGTGGCCGAATCTTTGGACAAATTAATGGAGAATAAGCTTGTCCGGGAGAAGAAGATGGAACTTGAGAAGAAGCTTGAATCTTTGCGGAAGAAACATGAGAAGGAGAAGCTAAGGGTACAATCGCAAAAAGGCTCCCTCGACGGTGAAAAGCACAAGTCGAAATTTTATGTGAGCCATAAACTAGTGAAACGATTGTCGAGTAGAAATATGTGAGTACGACTTTCGTATATCGATTTATTGTAGGACTCTCTCTCTCTTTCTCTCTCTTTCGCAGTTTCTCTCTCTCTCTCTCTCTCTCTCTCTCTATATAT